CTCCCTCCCTCATCTATCTATCCTCAGCAGAAGATATAAGTAATTGGATCTGGCATGGATTGCTGACAGAAAGCTGCTTTTGAAATAAGGTCAAGGTCTACACAAAATAATGCTAAACAACATATACAGCCTCAGCTTATTCATCATTGCATAGGAAGAACCATAAATGTCCTCCTATTCAAATCCCAAGCACACTGGACAAGTGCAACATCTGGTGTAAATCAAGTTTGTGCTTTCCATAACCATTCCAAGCCAAAAAGGTGCCCTAATGCACTCTATTCCAAGTGGTACCCAAAGGATATGTTTTCGTGTCAATGCCTTTATGAGGTTGTCTACCTTTCTCTGGAATTTGACAATGGCTTCACATTCACATGGATCTTCTTCTGGAGGAGGCAAGATAAAGTGCTTCAGTAAATTAAATATTAGAAGAAGGTCTTCCTAGTTGGGCATTATGAAATGATAGAGGCTTATGAAACATATTTTGTCTAGTCCAGGGACAGGCAGCCTGTGATTGTAGACTGCAAACAACATGAGATCACAACTTGGCATCATTGAAATTCAGCAATAGCCAGTTCTCAGCAGCACAATTTGTGTATTTTGTTTCTTCAAAAGTAAGGGTGCAATAGGACCAGGGAGCCTTTGATGAGGGAGAGCAAACCATTCTAATTTTCTCTCAAAGAGCCCCAAATTGCACTGCTGAAATTCTGTCATTTGGCAACTAAGTTTCAAGCGTGCAATTTTGGGTCATTTTGGAGAAATTTTGATATGTGTATGTGTGTGTGTTTTAAGAGTAGAAAAGGGAACAATATGATTTTCAGAGATTTCTCACACCAACCCCTACCCCTAAACCCTTTCTTTCTTTTTTTAAATAAATTTTAGTGAAAGTTTTAAAGAGAACATAAAAATGAACACAAACTAATACAGAATAAAGAAAACAAAGAAAGAAAAAGAGAAAAATCAAAAGTGCAAAAAGAGAGAATAAAAAGAAATAGAAAGAAGAAGCTAAGCTCTTTCCAAAACAATACAAAGCTCCCCACCCCTTCCTCTTGCACATTAATTCATCCGGTAAGTTTACCTGTGGATCTGCAGCTGGTTGAGGGAGCAAATTGCAGTTCTCACTTTTGGAAATTTGGTCCCCCCTGTTCTAGCCCCTACTTGTTTCACAGAAAGAAACTGACTGTAAGCACTGGGTATATTTTAACTCAAGATGGGAACAGGCTAATCCTTGCTGAGAAAATGAACTGAGCCCTTTGAGCATTCATTTGATTGCTGGACCACCCTCAAGAGGGTTAATTGAGCATTTCAAATAACTCTTGAAGGGATCACCTCTTCCTACCATCTGCTCAGGGCCAGACTGAAGTACTTTGCAATCTGAAACACAACAAAGAACAAGACTCTCCACCACCATCATTTTTCTTGGAGATGTTCACCAGTTTAGCAATTTAATCTTACTTCATTGTTGGCAATGAGAGTGTTCTCTACCATCCTTGAGGGAAACAGGTTGGAAAGATACTAGACAGATTATTTGACATCCATTACTATGTCCTCTAACACATTGTCTTCCCTTTGCCTGAAACAGATGCTTAATTTTATCTAATAGTAGGGCCAGTTTTGTGTCTACTTGACAGCCTTCATCTTTAAGAATGGGACAAAACTCACCGTGAGGGCAGGATAGGGTAGCAAGCAGTGAAGACTGCTTCCTCAAATATAGGTAAAGCCTCTGGGCTTCTAACTCCTTCCCCCAACTTATAGAGTAAAGGCATTGGCAGCAGTTCTTCCATGCGGGGATCCTGAGAGATGAATTGTACACATAGGATCTTCAGTGGGATATGGTGCTATCAGTCCATTGAGAGTTATAGTAGTTCGGGGAACCAGCAGGAAGCCTCTGCTCTGAAGATCTTAATGTATAGATAGTTCCACAAGGAGTGAGGGGATAACAATACAATAAGCGTAATATGAACCACTTTGGAATGAGCATCCCACAATGAAGGCCCACCATTAAGAAACCCTCTCTGCAATAGCCATCCATCAGGTGACGGAGAACCTATAGGAGACATGATCACTGAAGATGCTAATTTAGAAACTTATGGAGGCAATTGGTATCAATAATGCCAGAAGATGCTATCATGACAATAATGGTTCCTAGAAAAATCAAGACAAAATAACAATGGAACTGTTACCTTAGTCATTATATAAATGGAGTCTGCAATTATTTGTCAAACCAAAAAGTCACAGTGTTGCACATCCTATGCACAGCTTCACTCACCAACACATATTTTAGTTTGCAGCCTCTTTCCAATTTGATTGATGGTTCGGAAATCAGCTGTATAGAAGTAGTGCTCTGCCACTGGTTCAGAGGCAATTTCCTTGAGTTCATCTTCAATAGCATTGCCCACTCCAACAGCAAACATCTTATATCCTGAAACAAACAAGAACTAATCATCCGTGTGTTATCACGTTCACGGAAGCACAATAAAAGCGTTATTGATCAAAAGCCACTGTGCTGCTATACTGTCTTTCCCCTCAAAATGTGAGTTTGTGTGTGTGTGTGTGTGTAAAGATAAAAGAAATCTGGAAAACACAGAGGAATTACAAATAAAAAACATTCATCTGGACTGTTCATCTCCAGGGGCCATCACCTTATCTTCTGACAATGATTTTCAGGTGTTGCATCAGGCAAATTACTTTGTTATGTATCTCCTTGGTTTGCCAATTTCACATCTAGCTTAGTAAATATAGTTACAGTAAATCATAGCTGCATGATTTGGATGCAACAGAAAATAGTGGGTTGATCAATCCCAGAGGTCTTTCTTTCTGGAGGAGAAAAGGCACTGGTGTAATAATCCTCCTTGATATAATACAGTGTTTTCAATGTATGAGATTGAAGTAATTGTGTCTAAACTGAGCTCTAATAAAATCACGGTCCTAATTGCCAAGCACTTACCTAATTCTTTGGCTTTCTTGGCTGCATCATTGATGTAATCTTGGGAGCGTCCATCAGTAAACACAATGGCCGCCTTGGGGACTCCAGGCCTTGCTCCACTGGAGATGGCAAAGGAATTGTCTACTAAATATTTCAAAGCCTGGCCAGTCATGGTGCCTTTTTCCATATATGACATCTTTCTCACTGCTGCTTTGATATCCTTCTTGTTTTTGTATTGCCCCAGTGGGAACTCCTGCTTGACTGAGCTAGAATACTGGACCAAGCCCACCTGAGTGTTTTTATCTGACACATCCAGAGAATCCACAATCTGGTTAATGAACCTCTTCACCAGCTCAAAGTTTTCAGGCCTAACACTTTTTGATCCATCTATCAGGAAGATGAGATCCATGGCAGGTCCTCCAATACACACTGTAGAAAAGAGAAAACAGAAAGCGGGAAGAAAGCCATTGCTGAAAGAATCACCTCTTTAATTTAAATGACAACACTTCTTAAAAACTGACTTTAACAAGTATTTTGAACCGGATCTGCATCTTTGGAGTGGAGCACACTCACGAAAAGCAGTGGGACAAGTCATAAACGCAGTGGGACAAGTCATTTATGTTTATAGCATTATAATTTCTGCTTGGCCTCTTATTTTCAAGAATGAGTCGCTCGGCTATACACTGAGTGAGAGCAGTTCAGAAGCTAAGATTCATGTGTGTTCTTTGTTCTCTTTGGCTATTCAACAGAGTGACAGTTTATCCTCAAAAGAAAATGTGGAAAACGCATTTTAAATGGCATGTAGTAGACGCAGAATGAGCCTGCTTTGTTGAGGGAGGGGGCAGTATTATGGAACCTTCCCAAATCTGCTTTAAAAGCTGAGTTGTGCTTCAGTGATTGGACCCTCTTCCTAGAACTCCTCTGATTCAATGTTTAAGTTATGCAACATGTTTGTATATTTCAGTAGTTTGGCCAAGGGCAACCTGTGCAAAGTTTTATCTGTATAATCGGAACTCTCTGCTGCTCTGAAAGCTTTTTAGAAGCTTGTCCAGAAAGGTTATTTAAGGATTCCACAACTGATCCAAGCAGAGTTATTTTTGCTGGGGTAATGAACAGTGTCCTGAACAAATTACTCAGGAAACAGATCCATGAATAAGTCGCTTTCTATCACTTTTTATTATGACTTATTGGCAGGACCCTAGCCATTGTCCCTCTGCATGGAAATTCAATGATGATGATACTTTAAGAAGCATGGAAGTGGGGCAAAGGCTATGCCCATAAACAAAGGCTTGTATCTGTCTCAAGAAGCATTCTGTCACACGCATGTAAACATGTGCTATCTAGGATTCTGTTTTTAATGCAAGGGTGGGCAACTTGTGGCACCTGAGCTGCATGTGACCTTCACCTAGTGGCAGCACAGTGATTTTTTAGAAGTGCAATGTTTACTTTTTTGCACAATTAAAGCATTAAAATGTGTCAAGCCTCTGGGACACCTAATACGTAGTCTTCATGTAGGTGTCCTTTTAAAAAGTGCAAGGCTGAAAATATTGACCTGGCCACCCTGTTGACGGTTCTTTCACCATCACATTTTCTGCATCCCTTGTAGGACAACTGCATGAATTCCCTGGCCAAAAACAGTTGCCCAGGGTGTTAATTTAATTCCACAGTTGGCCTAATTTAATGTTCTCCTCCTTTAAGATTAAAAAAAAATGAGAAAGATGGGTTAAAGGGTATGAAAATGATGACTCTATTGTATCATATCTTCAAAGCTATTCTCTATCCCCAGCCTTAATAGATGCAGGTCCAAGGATATCAATCCAGGTGGCATCATTAAACAGTTCACTATAGCCTAGCCCTGACTTCTCCTTTCTCTCCTTCTTCGAACTCTGGCACTGATATTGCTTTCAGTTCCAATTTCTTATTTCTTGTATGGATTGTCAGGAAGTCACACATTCACCAATAATGGATTTTTGTGGGTTGACTAACAGAAGGTTAAAAGAGAAGATCTGGGGCCACCCATCACCTATTCCATTGGAAAGGCACAGTAGAAGAACCATGATGAAGATCTAACAGAAACCTATACCTGGCCCTGGACAGACTTAACTAAGATTTTCTGGAGATATAGGTTTTGCCAAAGCAGAAACAATATCTTCATTATCATTTCCAAGGAGAAACAATAGAAAAGGGATCCAGAAACTGAACCTTACAAAAATGTGTTTCAACCTGGAGTATCTGCTAAATAGTACAAGGTGTTAATGCACTGCAGAAGCATATCTACATGGATATTTAACTTGAACAGTGATGTATTTCACACATTGTGAATTGGGCATGCATTTCCATGATTTGGAATCAACTTGGGTTCCCTTTACAAAGTTTTAAACAAAACTCTTTTACCACTGCAGGTCTTCCCATCATTGTTAAGAGTGAAACCCGCTTCACAAGCACAGGTATACGAGGCTCCTGTACTGACACAGATCTGCTGGCAATCATGGTCTCTGGTGGCACACAAATCTGACACAACTGTAAAGCAATAAAATAATAAACACAGTAAACAAGCAGGGTCTGATCTTAGCTTATAATATCATTATTCTTGTGCAAATCAACTAGAAATGTTAGCAGTTCAGGTCTCCTGGAATCAACATCTGAGCTTATAAACAATCTGAATGTTCCTCTCTTCATAATCTTATAACCAGGATCAGTAATAGATGGCCCATGAGCCACATGCATCCTTAGAGCTCCCTGCAGAGGGAGGCTTCTCATCATAACACGCACTTCCCAAAAGTCCAATAGTCATTCCAATTCCCCCAACATATCTCAGGGCTCCTGAACAAAGAAGGACCATGAGCCCCCAGAACCTAGGCAAGAGGCACTTCACTGTAGAGTATATTTCATTAGGCTTAGCAGGTGATAGCACTTGGCTGATTTTGTGTAATCTCCAAAGCTAAGCAGGATCAGATATGGTGAGTATTTGGATGAGAGACTACCAGGGAATATCAAGACTGGGCAAAGGCAAACCTTTCCTCTACAGTTGCCAAGAACACTGCATGTACTTCAGATGCTTTGGATAGAATCTCCCACACTTTTTGACCGTAATACAGTGTTAGGGCTGGGTGAGCTACCATAAACCAATCCACTTGTGAAATGGCCAATGTGGGTTTTCTTTGCCTTCTAATTATTTCTAATCATATGCTTATTTTTAACAACAAAATACAGGTAGTCCTCGGGTTAAGAACGCCCGGGTTACAGACAACCCATAATTAAGAACGGAGTCTATTGTAGCAAAATTCGGGTTAAATACACACTGGTTCAAGTTCATTACACAATACTATTTATACCACAATACTCTTCTGGCTTACAGAAACATCTTGTAGTTGAGAAAGGGCAATTTCTTGTATGCATTGCCTTCAGTAAAGTTTAAGACTTACCACAGAAAGCTTCTTGAAACTTTTTGGTCAGCTTCTCAATGACACTATAACTTTCAACATAGTCAACATGGTCATCCAAGGGCTGACTAGCTATCTGTCGCAAGGTATGCATGTCGACGCGGCCCACGCCAATGGCAAAGATTTCAATCCCGAGAGCTCTTGCCCTTGCTGATACATCTTTCACCCCATCCTGGGGATGACCATCAGTCACTACGATAGCCACCTTGAGAACGAGACAATGAAGACTCAATTGATTTTTCCAACTGGGCCCAGCAAGGGGTGGAATGGGGGAATGTTTGTCCTCCCTTGGATGGTGTCTATCGTACACAGTGAGATTAGTAACTCATATTCAGCTATCTTAACCACAAAGAGAAACAAAGAATCCTATTCCCTAGATATTGTAATAATCTCTCACTCCTTTATTAAAAGGCACTTTGCAACAGAGAAGGCTCCCCAGAGAACATCATAAAAGGGCAGAATGTATCTGCGCCTTAAAAGTGATGAACGATAATGCAATGCAGTGCTCCTTGATTGCCAGGAGGGAGAGCCATCTATTTAACCAACTGAATGAATGAATGAAAAGTGAAAAATAAGGTGAGTGAGAGCATATATACATCAAAAAGAAAAAACTAACGAGCAAGAAAATATATCTATATCTATATCTATATCTATATCTATATCTATATCTATATCTATATCTATATCTATATCTATATATACAGGGATTTTGTCAATTAGAACAAATCCAAAACAGCCTTTTCACAGAACATTCCCAACAATGCAGGTGCATTCTTCGTTTTTTTTCTCTGAAACACTCACAATTTGATTTTTGTGGACAGAATCAGGTACAAGTATTCTTCATCTTAACATTACTTTGTTCTCTTTTCTCTCCAGTTCTTTAGAGATTTTCATTTTCACCCAGGTAAGCTTCATCTGGATATTTGAATCCTCAAATGAAGGATCATTTCCTAATATCTTACAGCAAAAAATTATTTTATCCTCACATACAGACAAGATGCCCCCAAAAGTTAAGATGGCACCCAACCTTTTTTAATGTGTGTCATACGTAAAAAGGGGTGCAGCTTCAATCGTGAAGTTGACCCACCCTCTGCAGATGCCCCTTTACATAAACACTTGTCATACGACTGTAAAAGGCCACGTGCAGACCTGACACACACATAAACACCATTTAGCATATTCGATGCCTCTTCTCTGCATTTTCAAGTACCCTCTCTTCTTCTAACAAGGTTTCAACCTGTTATAGCCTCATTGTGTTCAGACTTAAATGCAGCTACAGCTGTTCAAATTGCTGGATATAGGCCTGGCTAAGTTAGGTGAATAAATGGTGTAGTACTCTAAATAATTAAATCAACTGAAGAACAACAGGAGGGGACAAAAGACATCTGAGAGGGGGGGATGCAAATTTCTTTTACTTCATACGAGCGCTTGGCTGAACAAGTCAGTTTCATGGTGTCATTTGCTCTGAAGAGATCTTCATTGCTTCTGCTTGCAGAAGTGTTAGATGATGCAATTCACCTGATTCATATGCTCAGTTACCTCCAGGACTTTTCTTAAGGGCTCGGTCACAAAAAATGCAAGAGCAGCCTGAGGGATTTTAAAAATAGGGCACCAGCCAAAGTATTTTTGCAGAAGCATTTGGCTGCTGCAGAAATGAGTTAGCAAGGAATGTCTCTATTGGCTTGCAAAGGACAGGGATCTAAGGGATTGCTGGCCCTTCGAGGTAGTCCAGACAAGAAGCACAAACCATGAGTACTAACGCTATCTTTATTGTGAGGTTACATTAACAGAATCTTGCACAACTGAAAGTGCTTCTCCCCTCCTTTCCTTTTACTCTCTGGAAAACTAGGGAGGGTCCCTTCTGAAATGCTTCCCATACCTCCTCTCCTTCTGCGGGCTGAGAAATCTTTTACATACCAGATGTCCAATTTGGGGCTCTTCCTCCTGTCTCCCAAGGTCATTCCCACATACCATTACACTAATTCTTTCTAACAGTCTCACATTAACTTTTAAAGCACACACAGACTCCTTTTAAGCTCATCATGCATGCTTCCCTGTGGTGTCGATGAGTTGAACATTAAGGAAATGTGGTAAAAAATTGAAAAATGAGTTGCCCACATAGAACTATATCTTAACTGTATCACTATACAAGTACCTCTTCGAGAAATAGAAGTAGATTGGCGTGTTCCAAACAGTGTAGCTTGTCAGTCTCAGCCATAGGTGGAGCTGTAAAATCTCTTACACCTTCCTCAAGACCATGCAATGTTTGCAACCTCATATCTACACTAACAAACCCTTTGTGCCTTCAGCAATCCATTCATGTAGTCCGAGGAGTGCTGCAGCAAAAGAAATCTCCCTAGGAAGCATTCTTCCCTGCTATGAACATGCAGGAGATCAAGGGAGCTTGAACAGATTTCCTGGCCATGTCATATGTTGAGAAAAGCAAATGCAAATTCCTCCCCACCTGGCAATTTTTTTCTATTTTTTATTATTATTTTTTTAAATGTACGAAATACTGAATCAGCCGGACCTGGACTGCCAAAGCAGAGGATCAGATTTTGAATGAACTGCTCATTCTAAGCTAGTGTTTCTCAACTTTGGCAACTTGAAGATGGGTGGACTTCAACTCCCAGAATTCCGCAGCCAGCCTGGGAGTTGAAGTCCACACATCTTAAAGTTGCCAAGGTTGAGCAACTCTGTTCTAAGCAGACCAGAAATGCTGAGCCTCGACCCCAAATTAAAGGAATGGCTTCATTAGAGATTTAACAAATAGAACTTAAAAAGAGCCATGGTTACCCAGGGACAAGCAACAGAAAAGAGACTGGTCCCGATAAACTTTTGGTCTTGAACTTCATGGATAGAATGAAGACAGATGGGGAAATGAGATGATCAGTTTCCATCTTTAGGCATTCCTAATCAAATACCTATCAAAAGACTTCACACATACAACTTTAGGCACAAAGGTTCTTACAAATGTTGAATGAACATCTGTAGTCATGAATCAGAGCATGACATCCAGTTCCCCAAGTCTATTGATTTGACATGAATCAATATTTGGAAATAGAAAGGGGAGATCATGTTGCACATAGTGTTCTTTCAGAGTTGTCCCTTTCACCTTGTGAAATTGAAACTCTGTTTGGTTAAAAACAATGGGATGCCAGCTAAATTGTGGTCTACCACTTCTGCCCTTAAGGACAAAGGTCTTCATGATATATAAGGTTCCTTTAATGAAGTTGAAAAGGCCTTCTGTTTGAGTTAATTTTTTTTTCCTGCACCAGAAATAGTCACAACAATAAAAACAATAGCAGTAGCAGGTATCTGGAAAAATTAAATTCTTAAGGACCTGAAAGGGAGATTTTTTGAAATTTCTTAGCATTTCAAAAACGATCTCTCCTGCAAGAGAGAGTTGTCCTACCACTGACTTATGGCTCTCCCCAAAGAAAACCTGAGTTTAGCAACTGGTATACATTTAGCTTCTAGCTCACCTGTAAGTGAAGTTCAAGGAGGTAACAGTCAACTATATTTAGCTAATTTTAAATCCCCAAAGAATGAAATGTTCATAGAAAAGGGCATTTATGCATAAAACCTAAACACTCTAAACAGCCACTCACTTTAACCCAACTCTCTTCTTCAAAGAACCACACCTTTATATCTCATCTCAACCAACTGAATGTCACAGCCTGATGAATCTGTTGACAGCATCCACAAGGCTGAGGTATACCCATTCCCCAAACTCCAGGCTTCATGGCTTTGTGCCTAGCTCTACAAGGCTAGGGGGTTTGAAGTGGTGCCTCAGAAGATGACCAAAGCAAGCAGGAAAGGACATACAGAAGAAGGCAATCTTTGTTCCTCATGAAGGAGTGTGAAGAAATGTGAGGAGACATTTCTTCAAAAGGTTGTTACTCTGAGTTGTAACTAAGCATCAGTTAGGTAACTGGGAAGCAGAAAAGCAGTTGTGAGAAGAGAGGAATGTTATGAAATCAAACACACAAAATAAAATGACTGCAAACATTTGTTCAAGGATAAAATTATATCCCTCTTGGGCAAGAGTACTCAACTGCAGGTCCGCAGGCCACATGTGGCCTTTCAAGGCTTGTTTAGATGTGGTGCACATAAAGGAACTCTGCCCATTTTTCCTACCAGCTAATAACAATGGAAAGGCAGCTATCTACATTAACTTGCTGGGAGGAGATGAGGCCCCTGGGATGGGAGGATATGTTCTTTGGAGACCACAGTTAGTTGCTGTGGGATATGTCAGGAGCATTAAGTTTCCACACTTCCCACTTGCCCTGCAATTAAATGGTTGAAATCCATTGAGATATTATTATCATCATCATCATCATCATCATCATCATCATCATCATCATCATCCTGTTTGAACTATTACGAGATTTCTAACAAGCATGCCAAAACCTCATTAGACTTTAACCATTTTTAAAAAAATATTTAAGCACCCACAAAATGTATGGTACTTTTGAGGAGCCCCAGTGCTCCTGAGAACACAGGTTGCAGACAAGAGAGACAGAGAGGTCTAAGTTCACATAAGAGTTGCAAAAACCACAGGCAACAAGACAATGAAATCAAGCTTCTTGACAATCTACAGACTTTCCTCACCTTGTTGATCTCTGGGGATCGCACCCTGGCTCCTTCCCCTTCACTGAATGCTCTGTTGATGGCAAACTGTATAGCCAGGCCTGTCATGGTCCCTGTGGAGAGAGGCTCAATCCTGCGAACTGCTTGTAGCAGGCTGGCCTTGGTATGATGAGTTTTTAGGGACAATTCATTCTTGACAGCACTGGCATAGTTGATGACTCCAATCCGAGTTGTATTAGGACCTATATCAAGTGCCTCAATGACCTGAGACACAAAAACCTTGACTTTGTCAAATTCATTGGGGCGCACACTTCGGGAGCTGTCAACAATGAACACCAGATCGGTAGGTCTTGTCCTGCACTGGGCACCTATTTGAGAGAAGTGAATAGCTTTTTTCAAAAATGAGAAACAGGACAACTCAGAAGTAGGTCCCACTGAATTCATCTGGACTCACTCTTAGCTAAGTGGAGATATTCCAGCCTTATGATCTCTTTCCATATGACTTTGAAAACCACAGAGTCTCTTCCTATGATTGCTTCTTTTATGCTACAATCCTATGGTGTCCAGTGTAGGCTACTGCATATTTTATTATTTATTTATTTGTTTATTCAATTTGCATAGCCACCCATTTCAAACAAGTGTCTCTGGGCAGCAATGTTTATTTATTTGTTTGTTTGTTTATATTTCAAATTTGTCACCGCCCATCTCACTAAAGAGAGACTCTGGGCAGTTTATAGTAAAAACAGAATAAATATTAATTAAAATAGAATAAATATCAATTAATTAATTAAAATACACTACAACAACAAGATTCCTAGATAATACTTCCAAGAGGCTGATGTTAATTAGGTGTTAATAAACTCAGGGAGCATCTTCATGTTGTATGTTATGTTGCACTTTGTATATTATGTTGTATTTTGTATGTTGTATTTTGTGTGGTATTATACTGCATTATATAGATGTTGTATTTTGTATGTTGTGTTGTATTTTGTATGCTGTATTTTGTATATATGTTGTATTTTCCTCTGTGAAGTCAGAACTGGAGTTCTCTTGGAGAGAGAAATCCCAACACTAGTTCCTCCTTCTCTCTCCTCATCAGCCTTTATTGCTGACTTTGGTCAATAGTGGGACATCCAGACACTGGAACATCTGAACTTGAGGTGTCGTGGAAATGGAGCTGTGGGCAGAACAGGAGGTGGTTTTTACCCCAAACCATTCAAGATCCCTACCCTACCCCAAATCTAGGAGATATATGTAAGTCCTTGACCTGACCTAATTCCCCCTTCCCCATTTTTCTACTACTGGTCTGTTGGCAGCAAGCTTATGGCATGTCAGAGGACTCCAATAACAGAGTGCTTTCCTTTAGGGCTGTTCTTTCCAAAATAAACCAAAACCACTAAGGTAAATATTTCAATCCTTCTGAATAGTCAACATTCAAAACACTCATTTATGTTACACATAAATCCTTGACCAAGTTTTAGGATGGACTGAAGGTTTTTTGGCTTTCCTTCCTTAGAGGAAGCATTGTCTTTACTCTAATAGGACTTGAAATTCAGAATGGATTACTTTTCTGGGATTTACTTTAGTGATGGAGGCGTTGCCTTTCTTCTGATTTGCCTTCAGACCTGATCGCAAGACATTATTATAAAGCCAAAAGGAAATAAGGGCACAATCTCCGTCCAGACATTGGTGTCTTGCAAAGAAAAAGAAAAACAAGACCACCATCATATTTTTGCCCACACACTCTCATCCACACCTCTCTCCAAAAATCACAGAAATCCACACCCAGCAACCCAAACAGTCATGGGTTGAGTGGGGGCTATTTTGGCCCAGCACTATATCTTATGTTGAATCCTCTTGCAAACCAGGTTTTGAAATGTTTACAAATCCATCACATCTTTACACTGCAGTAAAATATTTTTACTACCCATCACACAATACTTGCTCCATTCTGTGATCCCTAGAGACTGTAAGCAAATATAGTAACTGCCTGAAATCTTCTGCCAAAGGAGTGTGGTGGAATAGCTAACTCAAGGTCAAAATAAAATTTGATCTTAAGAAGCAAGAAAAGTGTGTGAGTCAAGGCAACTCCATTACTTCTTCTAAAAGACCAGCTCCCTTTGCTTTTCCTCCATCACCAAACTGAATGCTGTTTTCAGTTCAGCAAGGCATAACAAAAACTATCATTTTAATCTTGTGTATCCAGTATTTGAGATTACAAGCCTAAGAGCAGGAAACTCTTCAGGGCTGTAACTGAGTAATACGGTAACAATGAAAACATGCTAGAAAGAGGGGAGAGAGAGAAATAACTGCTGTGCCTACTAGCCATTGATAAACCTAGCTTTTGATTATGACTTTCTTCTACTTTTGTGGAAAATAGAACTAAAAATGCATCAGTATGTAAAGAAATACTTTTATACATTATAGCTTGCCCTGCATTCAGACCTTCTTCAAATCCATTCTTGGATCAACTACCCTCCACAAAGAATCTACCCAGCAGTAGGGTACTAAACGCTTCCTGGTACAAGGAGTCTTGCAGATTAATCAGTGAGGTAGTTTTCTATTCTCCTGGATGATCCCTTTCTTAACTCCATCGACAAACCTTTTCATTATCTCTCATGCAATCTTTGAAAGTAGATTTCAAAGTAGATGTCTCAGAAGACAGGCAGCTCTCCTACCCTCTACTCACAGGATGTCAGTTGAGAAAGCTGAATAGGACACTTGGTCATAGTCCTAGGAAACTTATTTTACTGAGCTGTGCCATGGCATTATAGTTTCTCTCACAATTGTCCTATGGGAATCTCCAGAAGCAGAATTAAGGTTGCAATCCCCCCAGCCAGAAAAGGCTCAAGACTCAAATGTAAAATCCCAGGGCTTCGTGAGATTATTTCTTTCAAAAGGAGGATCTGCAGCCAAGTTACTGGAGAGATTGACATGCATGTACAATTTCTACATGTTCTACAGAGGCACCCAGTTCACTCCTGAACTGGAAGAACTGATCGAGAACCAAAGCTCTTGGACCAGGATTCTAAAGCTGGCATCCATGGTAATGGAGCACTGGAGTAAAGTTAATCATGATGCTGTGTTAGTGGGGGGGGGGGGGGGTTCCAAAT